CCTGGGCGGTAAAACAAACTGCCCGGCCCGCCAGGGTGCTTACCCTGGCGAGCCGCGTGCCACAGATTGCCGACCCCTGTTCTAGACAGTTCTATAATTTTATTACTGTCTTGTAATAGACATAATAACAAAAATCTTTATTTTCTTGTCACTTTTCTTTTTACTTTTTTGGCCAGATTCAATGGATATGTTCTGCCTCCTTTATACTACTTCATCAAAGCAAAGTAGCAAAGCAAAGCAGTTTAACAACCTTCATGTGTGCTACAGACAATGTAGTAGATTCTTCATCCTGCCCAAGCTCCACTTGGGTGCACTGGATGGAGGAGCCACAAGAGCTAATAGGGACACCCTGATCTTCAGCCATCCAGTCCCATGTTTTTAGAGTCCCTACTAAGGGAGTATAAATAATAAATACCCTGGGCGGCGTGTGACTCCTGCATTTGAGGAGGCTGGGTGTGAGCACCGGAAGCTCCCTAGAAGTGGGAGAGGCCACTGGTGCCTGGACTATGGCCCCGCCCCCTGCTCCACCCTGAGGCCCGCCCCAGCTCGGCCTCCTCCCCCAAGGTCCCACCCACACTCCACCCCAGGCCTCTTCCTGGTTGGTCCCCTCCACATCCAGCCCCTCCCCTGAGGCTCCCCTATCTGCCGCTCCCTCCTTTCTTCCCTTGAGGCCCCCCCGCCCACTTCTTGTGCCTCTTCATCTCCTCCCCTGAGGCTGCCGCCGCTTTGACCCCTCCTCCAAACCTCCCCTACCCACTGCTCGCACCTTTCCGCCCCCTCCCCCAAGATCTCCCCCACCCACCATTCCTTGGAGGGGGTGGAGAGGTGTGAGCGGGATTGGAGTCCTAAGGGGGAAGAGGCAGAACAAGGGCGGGACCTTGGGGGGAAGAGGGAGTTGGGGCGGGAAGAGAAGTGTGGGCAAGGCCATGGGGAAAGAAGACAAGCGGGAGCAGAGCCTTGGAGTGGAGCACGGGCGGGGCTATGGCCCAGATGTCCTTTTGGTGGCAGCACTCTGAAGACGGTGGGCCAGCAGCAGTGCCTTTAGAGAGAGGTGCGCTGCATCTTGTTTGGGGAGGCTTAGCCTCCCTGGTCTCTTATTCCTACTGCGCATGATAAATATTACAGTACTACTAATGGTAAATACTACTACTACTACTACTACATAATATCCTGCCTCAAGATAAGAGATAAGATACATGGGTGGGAATATTTTTTTTCTGATTAATTTGAAACCTTATACAGTAGGACCGATTAGGACAAAATTCTGTCCAGGGGTGTGGTTCCCGCTGAAGCCAGCCAGAATCTTCTTTGAATCCGAGGGAAGAATTTAGCCCTTAGAATGTTTAAATGTTCTCTCATCTCTAGAGCACATGTCCAGTGCATCAACCAGCACAGTAAAATAAAAGCTTATTGTTTAAAAAAATGGGGTCTGCAAGAAACAAATAGTAATAATAATGAATATTCATAGGGTACCAATCCAATCCTGATTTAATTAAACAATGGAGCCTTTTAATATTCAAAAGTTTGTGTAGCACCCTATTAACAGAATATTTTAAAATGCATTTGGTAGCTTGTTAGACTACCTTTGTGTCATAACTATAAGGGGAAGGGTAACAGCTCTCCGGTGTACAGTACTATAAAATCCCTCCTGG